TCAGAAAGCCTGAATGAATGAATGTCGTGATTGAAGTTTTTGTAACACTAAAATTGCGATAGAAACCTGAATATCAATAAAAGTAATTTTTTTTTATAATAAAAGTGCACACGACGAAGAAAGACTTTACAATATTCTGTATTGCCCTGGCAATGAGTGTCAAAAATTAAAATAGCTAATGCAAGTGCAAACACGAGTTATCTCTCGTGACTTGTTAACAATGTGTTGAGTACCGACGAAACAAAATTAAAAATTGAGGAACTTTAAGATGATATACTGCTCTTATTCATATTTATTACATAAACAGTGTGCAGCACGATGGTGTAATAGTAATTTTAATGGGTTTTATTAGAAACAGTTTAGACAAAGATGTGGTTCTCCTTTGCACCCATTACAGAATGTTGTAACTTTCTTAGTCACGTTTCCACTAATATTTCTTTCCAGCAGTGTCGCATTTTCTTCGTAACAATTTTTACAAAATCTTCTGACTTGGGATGCTGGATGTAATCTATACTGTGATGTCGCGTTTGAACAGCGTAAATGGAAAGGTGAGCAAAGTACATGGGGTACTTAACGTGTTAAAGACAATCACGATTGTTGTCGATCGTATATACCAAGTCACTGTTATGGGAAATGAATCACTGTGGTCGGTTCATACTGTTTTTTATTGTATAATAAGCCTGATGACTTCTACTAAATTCAGAAAATTTCAATGAAAGATACTGACGACTGTGTCCAACAGATATACATTGCGAAATGTTAGAGTCACTATGTGTTTATGTTGAAAATTATCGTGTGAAAAAAATACTCTTACTGTTCCTGTACTCTATTTTACTATACATCCCCCTGATTTTCTTCTTTTTACCTTTCCGAAGGATTTTGATGAACTGTAGAACGAGAATTGTGTTAATCAGGAAATTTCCAAAATTTATATTCTTTTATCACCGCCAACGAGAGTAACATGGATTGGAAGATTGGACGATTTTGTCGCACTTGAGACTGTCTAAATTTATGTTATAAATTTTACGTTTAGTTTTGCAGTTTTTCCAAGTGGTCAAATGTTTCTAGAAATCCCTAACGTGCTGGATTCGAGCACATCCACGTCACAGAGTGTTACCTTTGACCTTAGCACTTTGCTCAGTTCCTTTCGACCATTCGTGAACGCGACGAACGAGTGCAGTTTCTAGATGCTAAATTTAAGAGTAATTAAATTCGCGCATCCTCGACTTCGATTTGCAAATGCACTTTGATGTTTGAAAAGTCGAGTCTCTCGACTTCGTTCGGCCCCTGGGGAAACGGAGGATTCACCTTCGTGAATTAACTTTCTCCAAGGAGATACGTAAACGTCATCGCTCATCTCAATTTTACATATTCGTACAGAGTCGTTCGACTTCCAACTTTGGCTTATGATTTTTCATTAATTATATCGCGCGGTAATAACCGCACGTCTCCCTGCTTCGTATAATAATCATTCCATGAAAGGTATCGCGGATGACACTCAACCTTAATTAATTAAATTCTCCATATCGTATCTTTCCAAATTTCGTATCGTATCTTTCCCTGATTAATTTCACAACGTCGTTGCCCCGTTTTTATCGAGAGCGATGAATGATTGGAACTTCTGGAAAGACAGGTCGGTGCACATCGGGAAAGCACAGGTTCGAGAGGTGAATCAACGACGAGAGCAATCAACAGAGAGAGAGAGAGAGAGAGAGAGAGAGAGAGAAGCGTTTCAAAAGAAATACAAAGCTCATTATGCAGTCTTTGCTCGGTGAGGATCGCGGGAGGGCATATGCACCGGATTTGATATTCCGAGACTGTACTCGATGGGGTATATCGTAACCGTATTCGAAAAGAATGCGGTCTACGAGGCAATGATAACGATCGCAATAGACGTAGAGAAAGATTATCGAAACCGCGGCACGTGAAACGGCTCGATGTACGGTTATTACCGGCCCGCTATAGAGAGAGAGAGAGAGAGAGA